TATGTGTGAAATACCTGTTAGGCTTCTAAAATAAAAGCTGAATAAGAAGCTGTCAGATGTAAATTGTCAAATATCAGTATTATTTACTTACTCTTTGAAGCCATAGGATATTCAGAGCAAATGGGGCTTGTCATATTTAGAAAAGGGACAGTTCTTTTCCTTCTTCCAATAAGATGTATTTTTGTATTTTTTATTTTTTTAAATTTTTCTCTTCTTCCTGAGACAGGTCATGCATATATGCCTATTCCAAAGGTTTACTACATTTTTCCCTATAAACATGATAACTGGCAATAATTCATATTGAACACAGTAGGCACAAACCTTATATTTGCTGCTACCATCTGGAAGTAACCTTTTATTTATTGTATTTCCCTTATTGTGAGATCAAATCACTTTTATATTCTCATAGAACTCTATGTTTTCCTTTGCAGCAATTGCCACAATTTAGTGGCTAATTACAAGATTCAAGTTTGTTTTTTATACATATAAACTAATGTTATATACCTTTATATAGCTTGCTCCTTCTCTGTGGCTCTGTTTTCTGTTTTACACTAGCATGTTGTTTAGTAATTTTTTCAGTGAGAATCTATAGGTTATAAACTTAGTGTTTATTTATCTGAAAATATAGTGTTCGTATATCTGAAAATAGCTTGTCTTCATTCTTGAATCACTGTTTACAGGATTCTTTGAACATTCACCTTGAACATTGACAATATTATCCCAGTGTCTTCTAACATCTATTACTGAGGACAAGTTGGCCAGCCTATGGAGCTTTCTGCTTTTGGTCCTTAGTAGCTTTTATGGTGACCTTCCTGATCATTGATGTTCTGGGTTTCACTCAGATTTTGCTGGTTGTGAACTTGTTTTTATTTATTACAAACTGGTTGAGCTTCATTCAGTTTGAGGGCTCATGCAAACCGAGCTTTATTCAATTTGAGGTCTCATGTAAATTGAGATTTATTCAATCTTGTTAAATGTCAGTCATTTATATAAAATAATGTCTCTTCCCCTGGCTCTCCACTTTATCAGCTGGAACTCTTTTCAGGCATATGTTTGAGCTTTTTATTCTATCCTTTCCATCTTGTATTTTCAGCAAAGCAAAAATTTCCTCAGCATCTTTCAATTAATATATTCCTTTTCTTCTATAATGAATCCACCATTTAAAAAGTTGAGTTATTATTTCAATAATTACATGTTAATTTCTAGACTCTATGTTATCAGTTTCCTATTCACTTTTCAAAATGGCTTGTTATTATTATAAGAATTCCATTCCATCTTTATTTTCTAAATCTTTTTGAACATTAAAAAAACAATTTCATGCCCTTTACTGTCTTCTTATCTCTAATTTGTCCAGGTGTGCATACTCCTTTTAATTTTGGCAAGTTAACATCACTTACAGAAAGCATTTTTTCATATCCATTTTAATTTTAACCTGTGAGCTTATTCTGCTCAGGAGTTTCACATAAGGGTTGTTGCATATCCTCACTGTGCAATTTTGTGGTTGGATTTTCTTGGGATCTCTGAGGTTAACCGTCAAATATTACAATTAACCTTAATAAAATTATGCATAGTTTTCTATTAGATTTTAAAAGCCTTTATGTTTTTTCCTCATCTTTCTTTACCTTTCTATAGAAAATAATTGAGCTAATGCTCTATTGCCAGGTTTATGGAAAATTATGCCTTCATTGGCAGAATCACCAGGTTTGCATGAAATTTCCCACAAATACTATGTAACTCTAGACAAAACTACGTGCCAAGAACTAGGAAATCTAATTTTTTTTTGGAAATCTAATTTTTAATTTACATTGAACAAAATAGATCTACCTGTTGTTAATAACATTTGAAACATATGGGACCTACTCATCCCAATCCTCTTAATGATTCACAAATATACTATACATTTTAAAATAATGTGTCTCATTCCAATGTTAACTTATATTCTGGAAGAAGAAGACAATAAAATATTGATTCACTTTAACCTCAGTTAACCTCCATAATGTAGCAAGGATTTTACAAATACTACCATATTTCATTATCACAAACATCCTCATCCCCATGGTAGAAATGCAAGAAACCGGGCTAGAAGAGACTAGTGATCATATAGCCAGCAGATGGAATCACTAGGATTCACAGGGCCATTCAACCCAGGGGTGGTCTATTTTACTAGACCACTGTTGTTGTAAAATATCTTACAGAAAACATTCCTCATGTTCAGTTTACCGTTGTTGTTTGGTCTTCAGTGAACAGCCAGGTCTGTAAGTCAACAGGAACCATATTAGAATGGTCGTGTAATCCTAACTTGGGCAGAAGCTTCAACATGCTCAACACCTGGAGAAAATCTTACCCACTTTCTCTCAGTCTGTTTTCCCTCCTTTCTGGTCTCCAGGATTATCCTGAAGACAATCATTTGTAGATATTCTCTTCTTGGCTTTGGTATGCACTCTTGCCTGGCCCGGGGCTGCCCCATGGCTGCCTGAGACCCACGTACCAGGGTTTTTCTGAGCTTTACTATGGTCATATGTAACTCTGACCTGGACCTAGTCCCTGAAGTACCTAATTTTCCACTGCTCAGTTTATTTCTGAGTCTTTATCTCTGAAATGAATACAATTAATTTCTCATTTTAAATTCAGTTCTCAAATATAAAACACATCAGAGTGCTGCCAAAAATCTTGAATTACTACTTCTAAGATATGAAAGACTAACTGAAAATCCATAGAATTCTAGAATTCATATACAGAAATAACAGAAAGGGACATTTGAGAAGAAGAAATGATGATAGAAATAGAAAAGGGAAATGCAAGGGGAGGAAAGAAATTTGGAAGCTCTGACTACCTATGCTACATCAGGGCCATGACCAAACACAACTTTTAGTTAAGATGTTTGCCTGTGGCTGTCTCAAATGTCCTCACTGTAGATTAATTGGGAAGGATGACTCTAAACCAGTGGATATGTGAAATAAGTTTTTTAAACATGTATTAGCAATCAGTGGACTATATACATCTTTGATCTATCAATCTATCAACTTTCAGATCTAATAAAAATCCAAGGCTAAATAAAATTGTAATATTAAATTGATTATTCTTCATGTATATTGTTCTTACTTGTTTTATCATGGAAAATTAAGTTAACACACACATTTTTCCCCAAGCCATGCATCATCTGTATTTTGGGATCCTTCAGATATAAAAATCAACAAGAAATGGTTTCTGAAGAAAATATATTTTATGATGATTTATTTCAAAAGTTTTATACTGGTTCACTTATCCTTACTTTAACTTTAGCAATCTTTATTATGTTTTACAAATATTTGTTGAGAGCCTATTATGTGCAGGTACACAATGGCATTTTAAGTGAGTGGTTTATGGAGATTTTTGATCCTGTGTCTATTTAACTATAAAGTGTTAATAACTTACCTTGACAAAGTTGTAAAAAAAAAAAAATTAACCCTGCATATAGGCTGTGTCAAGACATGGCGAAAATGGGATTGGAGAAAATAGTGAGTGGTAAGATAATTCAAAGTAAAGGACTTAAATGATGTATTAAATGGAGGCAAAAATAGTTTACTTAAATTTTCTTTATGGTTGCCTTAATCTTTCAATTCATTTTGCATCCACTGGCACAAGCTTTCTGTTAGTGTAAGCTTGAGTGATTTATGACGTTATATTCATAATATCTAATATGAAAGATAATAGGCTGAAACTTTCAATCAGCTAGAATTGGACTTCAAATGCAATATATTACAGTTTATACATACCTTATATTACTACTTCCAATTTCTCAGAATATTCAGCTGCTATTAAATATTAAGATACTTGGAGTTCTTAGAAAAGTGTATGCAAGGATTTTTCTAATGCATTTAAAAGAAGTAATGATACTATGGAGTATTTTTCACTGAGTTAATAAGCAACATTAACAAAATTATATGCTTAGAAAGCAGTTATGTTAATTGTCTAAGAGATATTCAATCATTTATCCTATACTAAATGGAATCAACAATATCACAGAAGAAATATCCAAGTAAGTTTCATCTAGGAGTTGAAACAAATAAAACTGTCATCACCTAGGTCAAAGAGGGTTGGGTATCTGTCAGTTTCATGTAAGTTAACCTAACATAATTATAAGCCTCATTTTGCAGACTTTCACACCCTGGTTTTGTGAGGAGTACTGTATTTGCATAATAAAAGAGTGGTGATTATTTCACTTCACTTTACAATCTCTCAGAATAGGAGCAAAAATGTATCTGCTAGAAAATCCCTATGGTTTATACTCTATTACAAATACAGTTCTAAAAAGACCAAGCTTATGATTGTGACTTGTATTTTTAAAGACAGAATCATAAAATTTCCATACAGTTGTTTGAAAGAGAACAGTGGTTTCTTCACCTCTTGGCCTATGATATTTCAGTAGTAACAATATTTTATATTTTTCAACCTGCTATCAATTATTAACAATCTCACCAGGCATACAATCCTTCTATCAACTTTTTAACCCATCAAGTAGATAAGCCAGATATGAGGACTAAACTATAATGTTTAAATCAATGAGATAAGAAGTCCTTGTGCAAGTTGATATAAGTTCTTTCACAAAAGATTTATTATTTGCCATGTATACATTAAGAAAGTAAAATTAGCATGGGATGGTCTCAGGAAAGCAATACATATTTTTGGATTAGATGCTGAAATAAAGTAAATGTATGGTAAATTGACAATTCACACTGCCAATGTTATGAAAAAATGATGCGGCAAAAGAAATTAAGATGTATTTCTCATTTTTGATAAGGGCACTCTTTCCTGTGATCTATTAATGGATTACATTTTTAATCTGAAAAACTAACCACTAGAGTTAGAGAAGCCCAAAGTTAGGGGAAACTACCCACTTTCAGAATGTAGATTAGAACTTTGAAATTGCACCCAGATTGGTTTTTTTTCTTTTGGTTAGTAGGCCTCTGTGATTATAGTAGTAGTTGCAAACACATATAGGTTTGCCAGTAACAACTCACAATTTGTGCAAAGTTGAGTCTTCGAAACTGAGCAAATTTGCTCTCAATTTCCCGCCAGCGCTTGCTGAGCTGGATCTGAGTTGGTGCCACTGCCATTGCTGCCCCATCCTCAGACAAGCCCTCAGCTTGCCTATGCACTGCATTCAGCTCCTCTTTCTTCTTCTGCAACTCACGATCAATTTCCTATTGAGCAAAACCAATACAGGGCCCAGGGCAGTTAGCTAACCACATGAATCAACCTATCCCAGCACATACCTGTCCCAGAAATTTCACAGGCTGTCGTCATTTTATTTTCACTTTGCATAATTTACAAGTATGGAAGGCAACACTGTCATCTTCACCCAAGGATCCACATATTATTTCAGTTATTCTTTGAATGTTCAGTTTTGGATACTCTAATTGAGAAAATATTGAAATTGATCTAACAGATTTCTTTCTTGTCAATTCCTCTAGTGTTTTGGGGGTTGACCCAAATTGAAGTGATTACTCATTATTAATAGGGACCATCCAGATAGAATATAATTTAGTGGCTAAGTGAATAAGTAATTTATTTCCTTTTTAAAGTTTTGAGGAACTCAACAGAGAATGAAGCAAAATAAAAAGTGTAAAATAACAGAAAAAACATCTTCAGACAATATGCAACAGATAAATCTATAGAGATTTGACACTGATGTGAGAAGATGCTCTGATGAAATGAATGTGCTAACATGAGATAGAAGTCGTCCATATACCGATAAGTCATTTGTTCATCTGGAACAAAGATACACAGAGTCAATTACAATTTTACCAGAAAACATATAACATTTCTTAATTCATTTCACAATGTCTAAGAATAAAACGTTTTATTCATTCAACATTATGTCAATTGAAAAACAATACAATACATTTACTAAAACAAAACAAAATACAGAGAAACAGCTCAAATTGGGGAGAACACTAATAGAAGAAACAGAAACATCAACATTTAAAACATGATCCATACAGGTTAAGTTCAATAAATTAAAATGTAGCAACAAATCTGAGATTGACATTCTAAAACAACATTACCTTTATTTTCCTTTCATCTCTGGGTTCAGGTAGGCTGGCTAATTTTTTTTCAATGTCATCCAAGCATTTCAGGAGATCATCAGCCTGCCTCTTGTACTGATACCACTGGTGAGAAATTTCTAGAGCCTTTTTTCTTCTTTGAGACCTCAAATCCTGTTCATGGTGCAGATATTATTAAAATATCAATATATAAGCATATTATACTTCTGGTTGTAGTCATTTAAAAATAATTTGGTTCCCTCACCTTCTTGTTCAGGTTCAGTTAAATTCACACTTAAAAGTTACCCATACAAGTAGATTATTAGACAGGACCCATGTACATGAAGCTAAGAAAACTGAACAATCCACTTTCAGTATTTTTTCTTAGTATGGTCAAACTTGTTTAGAAATCTTTTCATATTTAATTAACTCTTAATGAGTCAAATAAATTACAGTGTAGAGTTTGTGAAATTGTTCAATATGTGAACTCAATTGAGGTAACTACATACTTGTACAAACTTATTGAGTTTGCATTTGAATTTTAAAATAGGTAAAAATTCTAAAATTTCTATCTTCAGTACTAGGTTCAAAATTTTAAGTTTATATAGCCAAGCAATTTACATTCATAATTTTAGAAATGTCTGCAAAGAAATTTCATAGGACATGAATATTTTGTGATTATAAACATAAAGTGTTCTTAGTTATCACAGAAATTGCTTCAAACTATATATGTTCAAGTGTGAAAAGTGTATGCCTGAGAGTATGCATGAAAATGACAATTTAAATATCATAAAAATTATTTTCCTTTTAAGACTTGCATGGCAAACTTTCTCATTGGCATCAAATCGAAATGCAAAATGATAAAATTTAGAAAAGGAAAAGTGCACGGTTTTCAATCAACCTGATGAGATAAATAAGGGTGACTACTTTCATGAATCACAAAAGGGGAAAATTAATCATCTTACTCCTTACAAGACCATCCAATGTTTTCCCTGATCAACAGAATTTGTTGTAATGCTATTTTATGAGGGAATATATTTTACATGTTTTATAAGGGAACATAAGAGCTCAGGATACAGTTTCCATTTCTTCAGAGTAGTAGCAATTAGGGTTTCATGTATAGATATAGCTAGAGCAAAAGAAAAGAGTGAATATCAAAGAACTGCTGAAATATTCATTGCATTGGAAAGTTTCACCTTCTTTGAAGTATTTCATAAGGACTAGACTTGAACACTTGGCAGATTAACAACTACTGAATTTAGTAGATTGGTGGTGTGGCAAGTGTTGATTTTCATTAAATGCTTTTAACATATATCTGAGAAAAATGATCTTGATTTCATTCTGCATCTTGTTTAAAATTGGGGATGTAAAATTTTCTACAGTTTACATTTTCAGTTGAATTTCTAAACCTCCTGTGGAGGAAATAAATGCCTGGGATGAGCCAGATGGAATGCTGCTTTTTTCAAAGGTACCAAGATACAGCCACGTGAAAGAGAGTTGAGCCATGCCTTACTGGTGACGCAACTCATATCTTCACCAAGAGAAAGGGCTTGTGGTCACCAAATCTGAAATTCCTTTTATTTCCTAAGCACAGAGTGGTGTGTAATGTGTAAAGATATTAAGAGACATTACAGAGATTTCTTTACAGGTATGCCAGATAACCATTAAACACTGCTGTTTGGTAGGATACATATCATCATATGACCAGTGTAGATGTTTCTAAAAGCTTGGTCACAGTTGGAAGCATGTGAATTACACAGCTTTCTGATTTTCTGAGCACATTATGGCTTGCTCTTATGCTCCCTCAGGGAAGAGGCCTTTTCTATTTCTTATATTTATCAGCAGTTACCTTCAGAACACCTGCTGGCCAATTAGACTTTCCTTGTGGATTCCTTGCAGGCACAATATTGTGTAATTACATTCTCAGCAGTGTTTATTTGGTTGTCTGACTATACGGGAAAAGGTTTTTTACTCTTATTTGCATATAGAAAGCAGAGTCTATTCACCTACAAGGTGGATCCACCTACATGGCTATACAGCTCTAAAGGAGTGATTTACAATGAAAAGCTCAGCAATTAACAGTATTAGAAAATCAGCCATGCATGCAAATAGTGAATATTGAAAAGCACATTAAAAAATAAAAGGTTATTTCACAGAATCTTTCACATGTCCTGTGTCTTCTCAATAACTTTCTAGATACTATTATATAAACACCAATATTCTATTGTCTTTCCTGTGCAATTCCAGATGAGACACATGGGTACTTGAAGCTCTATACTAATGCTGGTTAAAATGAGAGCACCGGTTCTTTCTCATGGACATTAAGATTATTTTAGAGGACTGCTAAATAAATGAAATTAGACTTCTAAATGTTTAGTTAGTTGCAAAGAGTAACTCTCTTAAACGCAAAATGAAGTTAACTGAAAAAAAAAATGAGCTATTAAACAAACATTAGGTTACCCCAAAAAGTGAACCTACTCTGAATTAAATCAAGAAAATATCAAGAGCAGAAAGTCTCAAAAATATACAGATTGGTTATGCTGACAGTTAAACAGGTTTTTCAAGACACATGTCAAAATAACTTACAAAATAGATCATATTACAAAATTAAATATATGAACACTATGAATGATGCATTTAATATCTTTTGATTACTACTCAGAAAAATGTGTCTAAGTAAATACCTTGAAATTTTTAAGCAGTACATCTTTCAAAATCAAAGACAGCAATCAAAATTGTTAAAGCACAGACACTGAATGGAAAAAAAATATGTATTTCTGGTGACTAAAATTCTTAAGCAAATTTGATTTATGAACAATAGATTTTACCCTGTACATGAAAAAAACACAGGCAAGGTATATTATAATTTTAGCTCTAATACCTTGAGAGCATTATGTTTTGTCTGTAACAGCTGCTGTTTTATCTTTATTTCCTCTCGCTTTCTCTCATCTGTGATTCTTTGTTGTAAGTTGTCTCCTCTTTGCAACAATTCTTTTACAGTACCCTCATTGTCTTCACTCTGATTAAAAACAACAAGTACAGTCTTCATTTTGGTTTAAAAAAAGCTGTACATCTTTAACAGAGATAATAAAACATGTTATTAAAACACACACAAAAAATCCAATTTAAAACTTTCAGGGAATGCTATTCTAAGATACTGCACTCAGAGTTTCTTTTTTAATATGCTATACTTTAACTTTTAAAAGAAATTTCCTCCTGTCTATTTCAAAAGGACACATGTGATTAGAGTTGTATGTAGAAAGATGGGGGAGCAATTTACTACATCATTTCAGACAAGTGAATTGTTATGAAAGCATTCTTTGGGCTTTGATTTTTAGTGCATTTCTAGAAATTAAAAAAAAACTTTGGAGAAAAAAACAAAACTTGTTATATATAATGTTAACTATTTGACAGAGGACTATAGATGTGGCTCTGTGAATGTGAGACCGTAAAATTTAAAATTTTAACACACATTCCTTAGTGAAAATACATTGTTTTAAGTGTACACTGATTTCTATACAATAAGTTCTGTTTTACATAAACTAGCTTTCCTGATGGCTCAGATGGTAAAGCATCTGCCTACAATGCGGGAGACCTGGGTTCGATCCCTGAGTCGGGAAGATCCCCTGGAGAAGGAAATGGCAACCCACTCCAGTACTCTTGCCTGGAAAATCCCATGGACGTAGGAGCCTGGTAGGCTACAGTCCGTGGGGTCGCAGAGTCGGACACGACTGAGCAACTTTTCTTTCTTTTCTTGTACAGAAACTAAATGACCAAATCTAGAACAAATATTAGAGCTTTAGGAAAAAAAGTTCTCAACTGCTGTCAAATATTGCAGATAATTTCTAAAAATAAGTCACATATGCATGTTATTTTAAATAAATACAATTAAGTAAATATTAAATATGGATTAGAAAAATGAATCAAATATTTTAACATGTAGTTTGCTCTTTAGGCTCTAAGAAAATTATTTTTATTTTATTTATTTTGAAATAAAATTATTTTAACAGTGTTTGTCCAATAGAGTAGCATATGTAACCATTGAATGTTTCACTTCTATTTCCTATCTTTCTTTCAATGCATAAATACGTTCTATCAAGGAGGTTTGCTTTTTAATAGTACCCAAGGTACTCTGATGAATTAAAAGAAGCAGACAATTTTTAAATGTGACATGCTTGTGTTTATAATCATCCATGGTGTTCCATGTTGCATACTTAAATCTCTAATGCATATGTCAACTTCTACACACAACTGAGAAACTATTCAATTTTTTAAAAGAAATGAGATTTTCATCAGAGATGTGCCAGTTACTTGTTTAATGAAATAATGTAATAGACATTTATGTGTATAGTCTTTGAAAAACCTTCCTTTTAAGAATATGTCGTTAAAAATCTGAAACATCTCCTGGGGCTGAGGACAAAAATAATGAACAAACACAAACCCTACTGCACTACTTTCCCCACACCAGCTGAAAGCTAGAGGGCAGCGTTGGTGAACAGCCCAAGAGATAAGAAGCATTCTTTTCCACCTTGGTCCCCTCTGGTTTCTTCTTTGACATGAATAAGAGGTAGTTGTAACTCTGTATCTTAGAAAGGTTTGTCTGGCCTTTCTTTCCATGAGCTGAGTTGGCAAGACCATCAAACCCGTACAGAGGGAGTACTGAGTTAGGCAGCTCTAGGAAGTCAGAAATGATACCAACGAGAACTAAGATTGGTAAAAATGGTTCTCCTATTGCTTCATGTGCCTATTATTTACAACTTATAATTTATCTTCTGATATAATTTTCAAGCACAGTCTGGGAAGTCTAGCACTGCTACATGTCTGAGAAATCTCTAGCATGACATATGTAAAGGTTAATGATGCCATATAGGTGATGGTTGTGGAGAGGGGAAAGGAAATTGTGACGAGGAGTAAGGAGAAAAAATAAGTCAGTGAAAAGGAATGTGAGGCAGAAATAGTCAAGCCAGAGAGAAACGTAAAAGACATGTTGAAATTAATCAGGGTATAAGAAGAAAGTTATGAGTCTGGGGATAGCCCACATGGTTATATTTCTTTTTTCCCATGAAATAAGCAGCATGAATTTACACATATTTTAGATATATACTATACTACTTGTTAAACTTTTTTGTAAAACTACATTGTGTTAAGTTTTAATAAACAATGTTTGTATCATGTATAATTGCCCCTTATCTAAAATAAATGTTACATTACCAAAAATAGGACTGAAGCAAAATATCAGCCATCTCTGATGGTTTTGCTATTTTTTTATTATTATGAAGTTTCTAATTTATTTTCTGATTTGACTTTTTTTCCATCTATTACATTTTGTCCTTTGAGTATGGATGAAAGTAACATTGCTGGGTGATTTATTAGAATCTATAAGTACTCCTGTATGCCCATATCATAGTAATTTGGCATTCATAATAGTTCAGTAACAATACTTTGCATTTGTAATAAATCATTAGAATCACAAAATGTACAAGGTATGCTCTAAGAATTTAGTTAGAGATTTGAATTATCTAATTTCCTTTGAAATATTTATTTATTCATTTCATTCCTAGTTCATTCACACTTTTATCACAACCAATTTACCATATCTTTATTGAAGTCTTCCTCTTTCAGATTCACCCCCTGCTGAATTTCAGCCTCCAGTGGTTCAAGCAATTTTTGTATATCTGAGTTAAACTGCTCCAATTCCTTCAAAGGAATGGAGGCCTAAAAAAAAAGATAGTGCTAATTTAAATCAAAATTACTTTTTATTAGAAATATAAGCCAAAAAATGCATTTGTTCAACCTCCTGTTGCTAAAATAATGACATGCATTATGTTTCCACATTATATTTTATGAAAGTGTTGAAATACAACTGGGAAAGTACCTGAGGATGCAAAGAAAGACAAACATTTAACATCATCAGAGCTGAACATACATGTAGTATAATGCAATTCATCATTCTGATTTTTCAGCAAAAGTCAATTTCCATATACTTGGCTGGTCTAATTGTTAATATCCTAAAGTTGAATTTGATCTTATTTTAAATATTCTGATACAAATATCATTTGGGTAAATATCTCATCAGAAATTGCCTCATTCATCTAATAACAGTAACAGCAGTTGGAAATGCAGAATTGTCTCCTTATCCTCAGAAAAAAATACATAGCAATCTGCTTAGATATTTTAAATGACATTTTTAACATGGCAGAATTGACAGGCATGCTCCCATAAGACAGTGTCATTAGCTTGTCTTAAGAATGCTTTATTTGGTAGCACACAGACACACACATACACACACACAAAATTGAAAAAAATGAACTCTTAATATCTCAAATGAAAAGTCTGAATATATGTTTTCCAACTTCATAAATATCACATTTCCTTTGATTTTGAAATTCATAATTACCATAGTCTCAAAAATCTTTTTAACCCCTTGTTTTTCTAAAGAAACCACTTGAAGAGGACTGATAAATGAAAATACAGTGAAAATCAAATATATATTCAAAAGAATAGGCAAAAATTAAAGTTCAGTTAATAATATAAATGTTTATTTTATTCATCTGGACCTCTGTATTCAATTCATTTGCATTAAAATACTAGAAAATATTTTATATCTGATAGCTTTGGAAAACTCACATGTGACCAAAAAAACACCTTATTTTCTAAAAAAAAAAAAAACAAAATAACCTTATTTTCTTTAGAGCTAAACATTTTCCACTTGAAAAAACAACTTAGGAATGACCCAGTGTCTTATGCCAGTATGACATATTCATCAAGTTGGTCCCCCCTCCCTCCGCCACTCTCCCCCAACAGATTCCTAGGCTTAGTCTTCCTCTTTATTATACAGTATCTCTTAGAGGAAAATATGGGAACGTGTTCAAGGAAAAAACAATATCTAAAGGTATTTAGTTACTAATGAAAAAGTGAACCACTGAATGCTATTCACAAGAAAAAATTCTCACAGGAAACATGAATAAACACTTATCTTCTAGGTACTTGTATACATGCCAGAGAGGATTTATGGAGTCTTTCTAAAGTGCCTTATTTTCAATACTAGTTTTTAAATCCTAATAAATATCTGAAATATAATAATATGTTTTAGAATCAGTACAGATTGGAAGTATTATAAATAGGCACTTGAATGGTGTTCCAATCTCTATTATTAACATACTTCTATACTTTAAAATCATATATTATATAATATATTGTAAAGATAAAGAATGATAGCCTTAGTATAACTACACAGTGTTAATTTGATGGTGTCTATGTTATTCAGTTGTTGTTCACATTTCCTAAGATTTAATAAGAGTAACTGCATTGTTATACATATATATATATATATATATGATTTTGTGAATGTATGAAGATAAATGATACCTAAAATAACTTTTTAAGTACTTGCATATCAAAATAACATGGGTCCACTATCTATAATGGATAATCTGATTTAGTCTTACATGTGCTTCCTCTCTAGTTCATCCTTTCTCCATATATTCATATATAGTAGTTTCAAAGGCTCAGAACTTGGGCATTCATAACTATTGAGGGAACTCCTTCCCTAATAGTGCTATCTTCTAAAACTTAAATATAATTTTCATAATATCTGCCATTCATTTTTAGCTGTGATTTTACTTTTCAATTCCAATGTAGACTCTTCCATAGCCAGCTGATTACTCACTTGAAGTTCAACGTGTCTAGAAATGAGCTTATTATCTTGCCCAGAGCTTCTCAGAACATTAAATTCCCTAGTTCTGTAAATATAAGTCATTTTTTTCAGTCATCCAAGTCTAAAACATGAGTCATGCTATTTTCCAAAACATCACTACTCTATTGTCTAATAAATACCAAATACTGTCAATTCACTTACCATGAATCACTTGCTTTCTTTTCTGAGATACCACCTCTCCTACACAAGACCTATGGCAAAAACCTCCTTACAGATGTACAATGCTTCCCACCTCACCAGGTCTATACTGTGGGCTGTAATCAGGTCAATATGTTCCAAAAGCACAGCTTTCATAATGTTATTGCCCTGCTCAAGAAGTACAAGTCAAATAAAGTCCAAACTCCAGCATGATAGTCAAGGCTCCCCCTAATCTTGTCCCAAGGATCTTCCTAACCTTATTTAAATGTTCCATATACACTCTTTCTTACAGGTCTGTTGGTGAACTCCTAGTATTCCTCCCTCAAGGATTAGAATGCTTTTCACCTTCTGGTGAACAGCCTAAAATTCTTGAAAGAGAATGGCTAGATTGGACTTGAGCTCCAACACTGAGCAACTGAGGGATTTGGGGCAAGTAATCTCCTCTTTGAGCCTCTGTGTCTTTATATGTAACATGAGGATAACAAGAATAGCTACTCATAGAGCTTTTATGAGGATAAAATATGTTAGAATGTTGTTTGGTATATAGCAAAGGCTCAATAGATATTGGCTCTTACTGTTTCCCCTCAAATTTGCACCCATCCATTGGCTTGAGTCAATATCTTCCTCTTTTGAAAATGTCCAGTTTATGAAGGATAAAATAAACACTTGTTGACACAGCATTTTTATTTTAACAACTGATTTAACAAAATCATGGAATTCTAATGGTAAACATGGAAAAATTGACACTCCAGTTTGGTAAAGTCATATTATTCTTAACAACAAAACTTAATCAATCTGCATCGATATAGTGGGGTCCATCAGGATGATAAAGGGCTGTCCACCAGTTCTGTCCTGTGCAGAATTTTCATTTGGAGATCAACAAGTATGTAAAAAACACATGGCGAGAGGGATGAGCTCCAAAACATCCCATAAAGATGAGTAATTTGTCTGTCTTGTTTAACCTAGAGTCATTTCTGGTACATAGAAGGCACTCATAAGTGAAATTTTCCTGAAAAACTAAGTGAATGCGTGACTAATCATGGAATAGTGAAAGAACAGTTTGAAGGAGCTCTTGAATGACCTGGAATTTACACAATTTCCATTGTATAAAATTGAAGAGACTGGAGTAGCCAGCACCTCATGCATGGATGTATACTAATTGCTGGCCAAATGCTAGCAACAACATCACACCACTCGGTACAAAAATAACATTAGTAGATACAAATAGATTTTCGGAAACACTAGTAGTTAGTTATGAATTATTCAAGCAAGATAACGTAAGCTTAGATTTCATTAGTAGTATGTGTAGAGTCTAGATTTCCTGATCAAAGACTACCATGGATTTGTTTTTTAAGGAAACTATTATGTAGATTAGAGATTTTAATTATTCTGTGTGGTTCCAAAGTGAACAACTAGAATCAATTGGTAGAAATTACTTGGAGCCTGAATTGTCGTTTAATATAGAAACAACTAATTAGTGCTGCAATTTTTTTTTGTCTTTTTAAAGCATTCATTTTAAAGTAGTGAGTGTCTCACTGCTGAAAGTATATAAACAGAAGCAGGATAATGATGTGTAGCTTCCTTGGTGGCTCAGCTGGTAAAGAATCTGCCTGCAATGTGGGAGACCTGGGTTCAATCCCTGGGTTGGGAAGATCCCCTGGAGAAGGGAATGGCTACCCACTCCAGTGTTAGATGTATTAGAGTATATGTTAGAAATAAGATACTTTTCACATGAATAATTCCCTAATATTTTACCTATTTACAGTAAATTTTCTCCTCTGAATTCAAAGATCTTTGTTTACTAGAGATATGCAGCCATATAGAAATATTATGCAAGTCATATATTTAATTTTCAATGCTCTAGTTGCCATACTAAAAAGTGAAAAACATCAGATGGATGTAGTATTTACCCAATATATCTAAAATACTATTCAACTTATAATCATTATACAATTATTAATAAGGTATTTTACCTTCATTTTTTCATATGAAGAATTGAAACCCACAGTGTATTTTACACTTACAGCACAACTTAATTTGGAGTAGCCACATTTCAAATATTCAATAACCATATGTAGTCTGTGGCTCCTTTTTTGATAGTAGCCACATTAGCCACAGTACAGATCAACAGCAACTATTATGACTATGACATCGAGAAGAACCAAAAGTTCATTATTAGTATGAAATATCTCACAGAAGTAATGTTGTATTAATAGGAGTTAAAATGCTGATGTTTTATTTAGCACATTTTAGTGGATTTAGATAATTTTTATAACGTCCATCTCATTTATCTGTATTCAGACATGTTTTATATGGGGATTTTCAGGAAGCCCTCTGGAGATAGGAACATTTATGTGAATGGGTTTGAGATGTTTTATTAGGAGTCTCTATTCCTCATGTGTGGGAGGGATTGGGGGCAGGAGGAGAAGGGGACGACAGAGGATGAGATGGCTGGATGGCATCACCGACTCGATAGACATGAGTTTGAGTAAACTCTGGGAGTTGGTGATGGACAGGGAGGCCTGGCATGCTGCAATTCATGGGGTCGCAAAGAGTCGGACACGACTGAGCGACTGAACTGAACTGAACTGATTCCTCATGTGTAATCTTAGACTGTGTTGCAGTATGTATTTACATACTAGAATGTAATAGTATTTAACATTCAAGGGTTTATATTTTGTCTCCCCACTAGATTTTTAACTCCTAAAGTTGGGAATACATCTTATATCATTCTGTATTTTCCATAGCAAAAGGAACTCATTTTTTAAACATAAAATGTGCTTGCTTTATAAATTACTAATTTTAGAACATCCAATAGATCAAATTATTCAGTAAATAATTTTACAACCAAAATGACCAT